AGGTCTATGTGTGAATTAAATCTTTCTCTGCTGCTCGGCAACCTGCATGAAGGTTGAAGAAGTGGTGAGGGAGTGCGGGAGGGTTGTGGCATGAAAGTGGATGGCGGGAAAGCACACCATTGGCTGATGTGTGCAGCTGAGGGGGTTGGGGGTGTGTGTGAAAAAATGTTTGTGTGCCACAGTGTTACTGTGAGCTGTGATGTCAGTGTCCCCTCCCTGGTGGCGAACAGGAGGAAAAGATCTGTGGTTCAGTTTCTCCTCCACAGCCAGAGGGGCTGGGGCTGTGCTGGCAACAGGGTGAGGGGGTGACAAAGCTCCAAACGAGTGCTAAGCACTTGAAATGAGCCCTCGGGGTCGGCCCACAGACTAGCTTTTCCTAAGAGGGTTACTAATATCTCCTCATAATTCCCCCCCAGATTACTGAACACAGCAAAGCCCTGCTCCGAAAAAAGCCAGGGATTTTTTAATGCTACTTTTATCAAACGTCCAAATGTCCAAATGTCCACTGTCCATCTGAGGGAGAGACGTTGATGAGGTTTTTAACTTCAGGTGAAGACCTTAAAAATACTTCTATAGTTTATACATTTAACGTTAACATAAACCTGGGGCCTGTATGGGGAGCAATAGTTTATCCTCCATAACTTTAAAAATGACTACAGTCACACAAATATAAATATGAAACACTAAACACAATCGGGTAAAATACCCAGGTATAAATATATATATAACTATAAATATATGTATACATATATATGTATTTATCATTTTTTATTTTAAGTATTTTATGAGCACCTTTATATAAATATAAATATATAAAGGTGCTCATAAAATACTTAAAATTACAAATATTTTAAAAATACATTAGCCAGAACTCGGGATCAGATAAAAAAGGAGAATTCAGAGTTCAATCATTTTAGTTTCTGAATTTTTTTCCCCCCTCTTTCAGAAGTTCAAAGAGACAACAAAATATGAGCGTCAGATTCAACAGCACACACTGTGTTCTCCAATGAATGATCCAGACATTTTTTTTTCAGCTGGAGCTCAGCAGAGAGCCACTCACACAAAGCACTGCCATCAAAGGCATTCCACTGGTGGTAA